CWTKYWWTTKWRCKYRCWWTTKAWYASMMAAWTRAKKAKMAMAWWWRGTTTAAGAAAACATTTTAACAGGTGAAAAAAGGCCGTTGCAAGTCCCTCAAAAAKATGGAATTTYTTCAAATCTTCGTTGTGGTTTTGTTCAGTTTGCCGTTTACCTCTGGCGTCGATTCATATGACCTGTGYGAGAAAGGAGATATCGAGGCRCTCAAAGGAAAAATTTACTTTAATTCCTCTTCTGTTAGCCGAAATAGAGTAAGCTCTGCATGTGAAAGGAATATTCACACGTCAAAAGGGAGATTGATGTTGACATTGACCCAMAGTGAAAACCAAGACGATTTAATTCAAGTTATTGATGGTGCATTTGGCGAACAAAAAATTGTTTCTACAACHACAAAAGATGGAAAAACCTACGAGTCGACTGGAAATGCAATGAGGATTATCTTAAAAGTCAAAGACACTTCAAAAYTTGGTTCTCTTGGGTTTATCGAAGGAACATTTGCGACTCTACCTTTTCCTGCCACGTGCAGTTGTAGCGCTATTCAAAATGGYCATGTGAAATGCCGTGATATACATTTGGAAAGAAACTGCACAGTTCAGTGTCAAAAAGACTATGTTGACTTATTCAAATCAACAGGGAATTACACCTGTGATCTGGTACRAGGAAGATGGAACAATGAATACAAAAACACCGTTGGATGCGTTCAAAAACCATCGCTGCCAGACCATGTGTTACAGGTGAATTTCACGACTCAAAAACCGATATGTGATYCTCTTAAGAACACTACTTCCGATGTCTTATTCAACTATTTACTTACACAAGAAGCTATCAAAGAAAATAGTGCGTGCTTAAAGTCACATWTTAGTAATTGCTTTAATTTTAGCTGTGATAATCAAGGTAACAACTCCTTTGTCTCGATAAATATTCAAGACAAAGCAACCAGTAGGTGGAACGAGACGGGCACCGGAAATCAAGCGCTTTTCAACGCGTACAACAAAAGTAATGTGACGAAAATCGCTCAAGCATTGATCAATTATAAACAAAAGGAATATACAATAGTCAAAAATAGCTTGCTGCACAAGCTTTTTACCAAATGCACCAAAGGAACTTTCGAAATTGGATCGCRATTCACATGCTCTAAGTGTCCCCTAGGTTCTGTTTACAAACCTGATAAGCGCACGTGCGAGAAGTGCCCTAATGGAACATTTCCATCCAAAGATTCSACCCAGTGYGTTAAAGACCGAACAGAACCTTCCCCTCAKCAAGAAAAATCATGTGRTAATATAGCGTGCATGTCTGGAAAAGAACTTGATCAAAACTCAGGGTTTTGTCAATGGTGCCMTCACGATACCTACAGGAATAGTTCCGAGGTCGYTGCAAAATGTACCTCTTGCCCCGATGGAAAAAAGACCCTCTATCGAGGGAGSWCAAGTGTTGAAGACTGTATTGTACCATGCAGCGAAGGGACATTTTTTGATACCAGTGCAAAAAAGTGCGTTATGTGCCCATTGGGAACTTTTCAGAATAGTRCAAATCATCTATCTTCCTGGTGCAATCAGTGTGGCAATGGAAAAGTTACTTATTCAAAGGGTGCGAAAATGTCGTCAGACTGCTTACCATCGTGTTCAAAAGGACGTTTCTATGACAACCAGTCCAAAAATTGCAYRGATTGCCCAGTTGGAAGTTATCAAAATAGTACCAACCAACTAAAGTGCCAGAAGTGTCCCTCTGGAACATCGACTCTATCTACAGGAGCAAATTCTACCTCTGAGTGCAAAAAGACATGCCAAAAGGGACGCTATTTCAATATGACCTGCAGMAATTGCCCATTAGGTACCTATATGGACAAAAGCGATCACTTATTAATGTCTTGCAAAGAATGTGARAATAATAAAACAACCTACGTCAAGGGAGCAGTTACAGAAGCACAGTGCTTTCCGCAATGCAGTCCAGGCCATTACTTTAATCTCTCAGACTCGATGTGCATAAAATGTAGAATTGGCAGCTATCAAAACAGCGAAAAACAACTAAAGTGCGTTGATTGTCCCGATGGTACCTCAACAAGAACAATTGGAACCACCAAACCTTCAGACTGTATCAATACGTGCCCTAATGGAACGTTTTACGATGGGAAAAACAGTTCCTGCTCGGATTGTCCGTTAGGTACGTATATGGAAAATTTCGGACATTTAGAAACAAAATGTAAGGAATGTGGCGACAAAAAGACAACGTACATCAAAGGTGCAGCTGACTCATCAAAATGTTTCCCAAAATGCAAAGTTGGACAGTATTTTCACTCAACGCTTTCAATCTGCAAAGAATGTCCTCGAGGCTTTTACCAAATGAAACCAGGACAACAATCATGCTTGGCCTGTCCCCMCGGAATGAATACAACAAGTGCTGGTGCAACTAGTAATCTTGAGTGCGTTAAGATCTGGGTAGTATGTGGCCAGGGAGAGTTCTACGATCCTAAAAAGGACAATTGTCAGCTATGTAAGAATGGCACCTATCAGTCATCAGCAAAACACAATTTGACAGCGTGTCAACCATGTTTGAGTGGTCAGACCACTGGTACAGGCGCTAAGAATATCAGCGACTGTCTGGAAGGTTGTGATGGTTTTCCTTGCAAGAACGGAGCTGAATGCACGGAACGTAACCAAATGTTTACTTGTCTCTGCCCTAAAGGAATAACAGGCAGAAGATGTGATATAATTGAAGAGAAAGACAAGATACAGAAACTCAAGGCGTCAGTTCGTTTTACTTCTCTCGAGTGGAGCAATTCATTGSAAGACCCWTCGCATAAAGATTACGTCAAGATCACTTACAAGATCGAAAAGGCTTTGAGAGATGRCGTTTTTGAGAAAGATGACGCTTTTGTTGGAGTTCAGGTATGTTCCTTAGTTTGAGAATGAGAGAATGACAAGTATGTAATATTGGTACTAATGATAACGATAACAACACGATTATGATGATGATGATCGATTGGTAAGGATTATTGTTACCCTTCCCCAGTAATATCAATTTGTCTTATAAAGGTTACGAAGCTACTGCCTGGAAGTGTCATCGCGGAGTTCGACATTTACATGAACGAAAACATGTCTCTGGTTCCCGCCAATGCTTTGCAACATGCTGTGGCTGAAGGATTAATTGGCGGGCTTCCTGTGGATKCTAGTTTTCTGAACATCAGTCAAGTTACCTGTTCACAGCCCCTGGGGATGGAAAATGGACAAATCGCAGATAAGAATATAGGTRAGTTGTTTAATAAACTGCCTTTTAATATACATTGATTACTGATGCRAAACGTACAGAGCATTATTGCTAAAGGAACTGAATCTCACATTRGGCYAACGGTCGATTTTTTGACAAAAGCATATCACATCGAAATAGATTCYGCGATATTTGCTTAATCACGTGATCCGGTWWTTTTCATAGACAATGGCAGTGGTAAAGGCAGGCTCAAAGGCGTGGCCTGGACACTTCCTTCTACAAAGAACAATACGTCCAACACCAAGGGGCACCTTCAGATTCAGTTTGATRGCAGCGTCATYATCACCGCAATTGCATCACAAGGTGACGGGAAGGGCTCCTTTGTGACKTYATACACTGTTATGTACAGCACAGATGGGGACACTTGGAAAACATATCTGCCATCAAATAAATCCTTAAAGGTAATAATTATAATTGCTTTTCGTAGAATAAAAGACTGAATGGGAAAATGAATAACAACTTTTCGTAATGAACGTTTTGAAATATACGTATGAAGTGACAAATGAATAAAATGATTGATGATTGATAAGATATAATAGCCGCTTTAAATCTTCTTGATATTTCAGGCGTATAATGGAAATAAAGACACCACATCTGTCGTCAAAAATATCCTCGCACAGCCAATCACCTCAGTCAAGTTCATCCGGGTTGTTCCTGAATCATACGAAAAGAGTATTGCCATGCGCGTTGAGCTGTATGGGTGTCTGTCAGACCCAATGCTTCCTTCGAGTCCACCCTCAACAACCAAAAAGCCTAAAACTGACGCAGTTAAAACAAACCCTAATGTTAAAGGAGTACAAAGTGATAAGGACGAATATTCGTGGGGTCAGTACCTTGGTATTGCATTTGGCTTGATCATGGCTGTCGTGGTTGTCGTCTCTTGCTTCCTGTGGTGGAGGAGTTCCAAGAACAAAAAGCAGAAAGAAGATACTCCGCTTGTTATGACGCGTTTTCAAGATGGAAGCTACAGAGAGGTTGGAAGAGAAGAAGAAGACGAAGCGGTGTGAAACGCATTAGTTATTTCACTCCCTCATGATTGTAAAGTTGATTTAGTCRCCTAGTTTTGTTTTGTTATTCATAAAAGTAGTCGTTATTAGCGATAGTAGGCTGATGGAAGTGCAATTTCGTGCTATGCCAATATCAAAAAGATGTTTTCTGACATCAAAGTACCCATTGGCTCAAAAGTGAGGCACAACAGGACTGCATCCTCGATACTCCTAAAGTCTCGAGGACGACACTGAGACAAAGAGGGGACGCACACGAAAACCACAGTCTGCGCAACAGCCTAACTTCTCGGATTATCAATCTATTTTAGTCTTATAATGAATTCAGAACGTACAAAACACCTCACATGCTCCATCAGCTCCGCGTCGCTAGTGCTTGCAAGCCTATATATAACCTCGCGGCTAGATTGATCCATTTAACACATTTAATATCGTAATATTGTCTTTGAATTTATCATTGTTATTAATAAGTTACTTATGGCCCTTTTTGCCATTAAGAAACGGAGGTTTGATTTACGTTTCTGTTCAGAGTCACAGCTTACCACTTTAGGTGTGCGCATTTAAGCTTTTGATAATGTTAGCTTGTTTTTTAAAAGCATTTGTTCGCTTTGACCTGCAATTATTTAATACTTTTGTTGATGCATTTTGGCAAGAATGTGATTATATAAAAAAATAAATGCAAAATAAAATTTAAAATAGACGAATAAATAAAAAGTAAATGTAAAAAAATGCTTGTTTTGTTTGCTTTATGTGTGGGGGATTTTTATGAAACTGCAGAAGAATGCTTTTATCACTCCAGAAATAAAAGCTAAGTGAATAAAATTTAAACAGTTTTCGATGGATAGAAAACATTTCTGGGTTTCCTGTGTTGGCGYAAATTTTCAAATCAAGGCGCTAAAGGAATCCAACCAATCACAAGAGCGCTTTTATCTGAACTAACCAATCACACTCGTTGATAAATCGCAACACGCCGCCATTTTTGAAACCAAACATTTTCTGATTTCGAAAAACAAAATGTCAAGTTCTAGCGATAATTCCTTGCCATATTTACCAGATAACGATTCTCCTGGAAGTTCAGTTTCATCTTCGCTTCAAAAGGAGTACGACGAGCTCTTAAAATATGCTGTTGTAACGCCGAGACTTCAAATAGGAGAGAATGTTTACGACCGAAAACTTGAATCCCAACCGTCAAACAAAGGGGACAACCATGTACATTTTAGCGACGTATCCGTAACTTCCTTGTCAARCTCTGAGTCTAAAACTTCGGCGAGTGAAAATACACAAAGTACATACTCCGAAGAATTATCTTATGTTGCCAGAGAAGGCGTTGCTGGTCTTCCAAACTCGCCAGTCGTCCAACCAGCATCAATCTCTTTGATTGGACAAGGGAGTCTTGCCAGAGATTCTTTATTGAAAGATGGTTAGTGATACTCTTCAAAAACGTATTTTAGCGTTATTAAAAGTATAAAAGAGAGTTAGGGAAAGCACACTAAAAAATAACTGGTCACATGATCTCTGTGATTGACAGCTATCCATAATGGACTATAAGAACACTATGATAATGGTACATTTTTTTTGGAGCAGTAATCTACATATTAGATATTAAGATTTCAAACATTTACAATTTTTTATGTCATTCTAAAATACAGTATCTGGAACCCCCAATGAAAAGGGCCATCAAACCCAAAATGATGAGTCACCATCCTCTGAATCACCCTCATCAGATCAGTCTACAGAATCACCAATGAATGGCCAAGGTTCTCCTACAATAGACGCTGACTTGRCAAGAATGGAAGCATTGCTGGACAGCTGGTGTTTGGACTTGAAGAGAAATGTGTTGGTATGACTGATAGTGATTTAATCCCATCTTAAATTATCTTTCAAATGTTCGCAAGCTGTCATTATAAAATGAAATCTCAAAGCATTTTTTATTTATTCCATTTAGGCAGAATTAGCCCAATGCAAGATGGGTTTATTTGAGAAACAAAAGCAATTAATACTGCAAGAAAAACGAAAGTAAGTAGATCATTTGACAACATTTTTGTCATATATCCACATGTTAAATATGAGTCAATATGAGCCTTTTTCAGACATTGGGATACGTTAATGATTTTTCTTTACTTCAGACACCATGGTGATAGRAATAAGTTACTAAATGAGATGGAAAGTCAGAAAGAGTTGCTTTATACATATGAACAGTCCATTCARCACAAGGACAGTATTGTTGCTAATGTAACTAATGCTTTGCAACGACAGGTGAGACACCATTTTGGAACTACTATAGATTACTTTGTTCAATGGATTTAGATCATATTTTCTCAAATAGATACAGTATTTATCATTATTTGTTGCTTTTATTTCAGAGAGATAAATTTGAACTTCTAAAAGGGTTTTCTCATTGGAAAATAAAGCACAGTGATGAAACGAGAGAGGTATACAACAGAAATTTGAATTTGGGCAAAATCTTGAAATATAATTTTCTGTCATGTAATGTTTTGATGAAATATTTTTCCAGGCTTTCACCAGCAAGCTGTCCAACAAACAYTATAACCACACACTTCAGGCCAAAGCATGGAAATCATGGAGATACTTAATTCAATCAAAGTGGAAACAAAGAGTGGAAAAAGCATGTCAGGTAATATAAAATGTCTAATAATTGGATGTCAGTGAAGCAAGAATGCATTCAATGAACAATAAAATTGATCAGGAAAAGAATGAATGAACACCATCATTTAACCRATGGTCCATTTCTTGCCAGAAACTATTACTTAGCATTTAAATRAAGCAAAACACAACATTGGGTTTCCAGTGCAAGTAGRGAAGCAACACAGGAAGCCCAATATTCACGAAACTAATGTTCRACGAATCCTGTTAGGACTTTTTGGGTTCTATCTATAATAGATTGATTTGATCTTACAGAGTAAATCACAGGAAGTTTGTATCAAATTAACAGAGGATTATGAAACAAAACTAGAAAACGTAAGTATTTTTTTTCATTTCTTCATCAATCTATTTTGTGCAAAAGTATGACAGAGATGATTTCRCTTTTAGGTAAACAGYGAGTTAGAAAATGCAAGACAAGAAATCGCAAGGTTACACGCTGAGCGTGAAGCATATGAAGAGACCATGAAGAAGGCGTTCATGAGAGGAGTCTGTGCTTTGAATCTTGAAGCCATGACAATGTTTCGTGAAGGAGAAGAAGGAGGAAGGCATGTTCCATGTCCAGCTTCCGAAACAGCAGCTTCCTCTACTGGTTAGTTTCACATTACAT